CAGACAGACAGACAGACAGACAGACAGACAGACAGACAGACAGACAGGCAGACAGACAGACAGACAGACAGACAGACAGACAGACAGAAAGACAGACAGACAGACAGACAGACAGACAGACAGACAGACAGACAGACAGACAGACAGACAGACAGACAGACACACTGACAGACAGACAGACTGACAGACAGACAGATAGACAGACAGACAGACAGACAGACAGACAGACAGACAGACAGACAGACAGACTGACAGAAAGACAGACAGACAGACAGACAGACAGACAGACAGACAGACAGACAGACAGACAGACAGACAGACTGACAGACAGACAGATAGACAGACAGACAGACAGACAGACAGACAGACAGACAGACAGACAGACAGACAGACAGACAGACAGACAGACAGACAGACAGACAGAAAGACAGACAGACAGACAGACAGACAGACAGACAGACAGACAGACAGACAGACAGACAGACAGACAGACAGACAGACAGACAGACAGACAGACAGACAGACAGACAGACAGACAGACAGACAGACAGACAGACAGACAGACAGACAGACAGACAGACAGACAGACAGACAGACAGACAGACAGACAGACAGACAGACACACTGACAGACAGACAGACACACTGACACACTAACACACTGACACACTGACACACTGACACACTGACACACTGACACACTGACACACTGACACACTGACACACTGACACACTGACACACTGACACACTGACACACTGACACACTGACACACTGACAGACAGAAGGACTGATTGACACACAGACACACAGACAGACACACTGACAGACAGACACACAGACACACAGAGACAGAGAAGTGCGCACACGGGCGTTTATATCTTAGGATATGTGTTTTTTCAGAAATTGGAAATTGCGTAAAGTATTACTTCCGGATAACGGAAAAAAAAATTAAAATTGGACAGAATTGTCAAATGTTGTTTATCTATCTAAAAACAGTACTCGAATTGTGGACTTGAGTCGTCCAGGTAATGCCCTGCACTGGCATTTGTGCAAAGAATCGTGACTTGCGTTTTTATTAAGCATCGTGTTAGACTATCCGGTGTTGCTTGGGGTTTGGAAGAATATTAAATTTCTAAATACATGTCTATATAATGTAATGACGTTTGTGCGACCACAAACATAAACGCCAACGCAAATAAAAAAAAAAGATAAATAAAGACACGTCACAACAACGTCAATCATAAATATAAATATAAACTCAAAAACCTGAATCGTTGCTATTTAATTTTAATTTTTGTTTAACATCTATAAACATATGGGAAATACATCGTTAGATTTATTTTAGATTTCGTAAAGAAATATTATTTTATGTTCATTAGCACGATTAGTTGAAAATTAAAACATAATTTGGAATAAAATTAATTCAAAAACTGAAAACGTAAGAACATTAAAAATGCGGGATGCAGTGGAGTTTTCACTTTAAGTTTAATTTCCATAAGTCCATATGAGGTTTGTAGTACAGATTTGCCAAATCAAAGATTTTTTAATCAGTATAGTTATCCAGACGTGCTTACTTCAAAAAAATGTCTCATGCAATTATAGCCTCCACTATCGCTTAGCCTGACACCTATCTCATTTAGTCTTCCAGCGTCAAGCAATTTCAGGTTACGTTTTCCCAAACATTAGAACAAAGTATCAATTCTTAAACCCTAACCACCTATTGCCACCAAGCATTTATCACAACCGTTGGAAGTTGTCTTCTATTTTCCACATGTATTTAATTATATATATATATATATATATATATATATATATATATATATATATATATATATATATATATATATATATATATATATATATATATATATATAATATTAACGCCACTTTACACATCTACTAGTTTTACCTGTTCAGCGCCACTGCATTGAATTCATATGCCTATTCGTTTTTGGACTAACTGATCGTATCCCTTAATCCAAACCTAATTCTGTCATAATCAGCGGTATTCATGTTAAGCCCATAAAGTAATCCAAATGTAGCTTCAAATATTTTTAATAAATGCGATTTTAGTCCCGTACACGTAATTGTCTATCATGCGGGCTCATCCATGCAGGACAAATATAACGTATCAGTCTACTAATCTTTTATTTGTTAATCCCTGTTAATCTGATATTATACTCGTTATAACAAACACGTTTTTATCCTCCTAGAGATTTAAAAAAAAATTATGAGTCTTACTTGCAAAATAATTTTAAAGAGGATTGTTTAGTTGTTTAATTTTCATGTTTTTAGTATTACGTTCAAAATTAAGTTGCTTCAACATAGGCAACGACAAAAAGTGTTTGCTTTAAAACCCGATCAGTAGGCCCAGCTCGCTATCTCTGAAAGACGTTTAACTTCCAAACAACGGTCGACGTTGAGGCGAACAATAACGTTTGCCTTGAAAAATCGTTTAAATAGGTTGATCTTGTTATCGCTTGAGATGTGTTATTAATTAAGAAATGTATTATAATTTTCATTTACCGAATTATTGTCTAATGACAATAAAATCATATATTCTTCTATTGAAGAGTAAGGAATCGGAAATTTCGATTAAAATCTTTGAGTTAGAAGTGGGTCAAAATTATGTTGAAAGATTTGCCAGGGAGAGTTATATTGCAAAGTAGTACTCCCCTTTTTCACTTTCTCGTTTATACGAAAGTCTTGTAATCGTGCAAAAAAAAAAAAATCGAGATTTTTACAAATCTCGACGTTTTACACCTTACTGATACGGAAAAACACATTTTTTTTCAATATTGTCCGTATGTATGTGTGTCTGTCTGTGTGTGTGTCTGTCTGTGTGTAAACACGATAACTTGAGTACCGTTACAGCTAGGTTGAGGAAATTTCATATATAAGTATTTTTTTTAAATCGTATACCCTGATCAACTTTTGAGCGATTTCCGATAACCGGAAGTGGTACTTTTATCTACTTTGAATTTTTCAAAAGCCTATAACGTGAGTACTATTTCAGACAGATAAATGAAATTTCACATGTAAATAAAAGATCTAATTCTCTACCTTCTGTCAAATTATGAGCAATTACCGTAGAACGAAAGTACCAATTTACGCTATTTCCGATTTTTCAAAAAACGCATGTAAATTTATAAAGTACTAATAATATTGCACACTATTATGCACATTTTGTTTTGGCGCTCGCTTGGTGCGCAATTCTTTTTCTTTGAGATTCTTTTCTAATTTTTAAAAGTTTAAGTAATTAAAAATCATGTCTATATTCCAAGTTATATTAGAATATTCGAGAAAGTTTAGGGGAGATCACTCCCGGTTTATTTGAATTTACGACACATAGGGCCGATATGATAGAGTTACCGGGCTTGTAAGGTTCAGATGAGGCTGAGGGCACACAGGGGAATTATATAGGTAACCAGATTTGATGTGAGGGCAGTGGCGTAGCCAGGATCGTCTCAAGGGGGGGGTTCCAATTTTTACCCGGGGACAAACTTTCGATTTGCACCCCCCCCCCTCAAACTTTCGATTTGCACCTACCTCCCCCCCCTCAAACTTTCGATTTGCACCCCCCCCCCCCTCAAACATTTTATTTGCACCCCCCCTCATACTTTTTATATATACCGAGGGGTCTATGGGGGGGGGTTATGACCCCCGTAACCCCCCCTGCCTACGCCACAATGTGAGGGTGACCAGGTTTGACTACGGTGATGGTGAGGCATCTAGTGTGGTGGATAAAGAGGAGTGTGAGTGCACATAATAGGTGGTATGTAGTACAAATACGCAACCATGAAATTTTAGAATGACACAAAAATTTTGACTGGGAAATTATTCTTAGCGGGTAAACATGCGGCTAATTTTAGTTAATGTTGATTTAGCTAATTTGATTCTTGGGTAAACAAAGCAAACATGTATTCGAAACTTAATGTCCATAGAGTAAACGAAAATTTCTAATTTTTTGTGACTTATCCGGCAGTTCAAGCAAATGTTATTTTAATACGTCTGAGAGTTCAAATACTAACCTTCTTGTAAAGACTTGTAAAATTTAGGTAAAATGTGTGTAGTATATTGTAATTTAATGTACTGATATTCCTAAAAAATAGTCAGAATGACTGTATCAATACGCCACTGTATAACGTTAATTGCATAACTGTGGTAACATCTGCTGTCAAAGTTTTAGCCTCTACAACTAAGTACAAGGCACGTCACTCGCCATGTAGAAGTTATAAATAAGTCAGTTAGTAGTCAATACCAACACTACTCTGTTTCATAAAAGTAAAAGTAGGAATAACAACATATTCGGAGTCGTATTTTGAAATATTTAAACTGAGAGGTAAGTCCAGAGTCAAATACGTATAAAAATAAAATATGAAATTTAGATTTTAATGTATTTTTTTAAAGTTATTTTACATTGTTTGTTTTATTCAGGCAATTTCTATCATATATACTACCATGAAGCTTCACTTGTTGGTGGTATTTTATTTGACTTCCACATTTTGTTGGACCTGTGTAGAAGGAATAAATGACAAGAACAGCACAATTGTTGATGGCATTGAAAAAAGGTCATGGACAGTTCTTCAAAACAGATCTGCAGATGAAGTAATACGACAATTATTTTACATTTGTATTCAAGTACACACACACACACACACACATATATATATATATATATATATATATATATATATATATATATATATATATATATATACCTATATATATATTTGTATTGCATCTATATATATATATATAAAGCAAAGTGGTCAAATGCCCGACAGGGCACTTCCCGGCGGCGCAGGCGCGTCAAATTTGACAGGATGGTGCCTTGGGGCAATAGAACTCGAGGGCCGTTGACGGTTTGCCGAAAAGTCTACGGAGAGAGGGTCAATACTGACCTCGACTGACCGGCGCCTTGTATGGGCTATATTACGAAAAAAAAAATTCCTCCGACGACCCCCCTTGATATTTTGTGAGGTGGTAGGAGAACGCCATGGGGTGTCACAAAAAACTTCGTAAAGAGGTCAAAACTGACCAGTTGTATTTCCCTATATAATCTTTGTATTTTATGGGAAAAACAGAGGGTCATTTTAACGCGGTATAGCTGGCTAATTATTTTCTTGCTGTTAGGTAAATGGTCGGTTTGACTCAAAGCCCTCGACGCTGGCTACAAAGTGACCGCTATATAACAAAAAAAAATTCTGTCGAACGACCCCCCCTTGATATTTTGTGAGGTGGTAGAAGAACGCCTATGGGTGTCATAAAAAAACTCGGCATATCTGAGAAAACTTTGTAAAGTGGTCAAAACTGACCAATAGTATTTCCCAATTTAATCTTTGTATTTTATGAGTAAAACAGGGTAATTTCAACACAATTTTTAGGGTACTTAACCTCTGTACATAATGCTAATTTTTTGCATACACTTCTATAGTTGACTAGGCCGTATGGAAAAACTGTTGATCAGACTCAAAGCCCTCGACGAGGACTAAAAGATGACCGCGAGTGAAATTCACCTTATTTGAGATATATATAAATAAAATGACGAACGATCCCCTTCATATGTGAGGTCGTAGACCGACCCTGGAGGGTAACACAATTGTTTTATTACCTTCGGAAAAAGCCATTATAGTCGTTAAAGCTATATAATCCGTCGACACACCTATTGTAGAAAAAGTTTGAAGCATGTATTATATTCGCAATGGAATAATCTAACTAACAAGTAATTGTTAGTTTAAATAAGTAATTTATACATATCCAAAAAAAAAATAAAAGCCCACGTGCGCCTTTCTCACTCTCTCTCTCTCTCTCTCTCTCTCTCTCTCTCTCTCTCTCTCTCTCTCTACCTCTGTCTATGTCCGTCCTATCTTCTGAGGCTATGATGTAAGTATTTTCAGCAGTATGTAAAAAAACTTAAAGATACATTCTTTTGTTGAAAATAATACGTAGGGTGTACTAAATATATAAACAACAAATGATTTATACAAGGAAAATAAAAATACAAGCACATTTAAATGTAGTTACACATCTTTAAATGCACTTCAGAATTATGTTCCATTTATAATTAGTCGTGAATCATTATAAAATTATGTCATTTAAAAAAGAATTAGCAAATTTTAATTTTTTTTAACAGTATACGCACCCTGTAAGTATAAAGAAATGTTTATTTTATTTATGCATAGATATGCTTAAATATGAATGATTTTAAAAAAAATTAATATGTTTAATTGTTTTGTTTTTTAATTATAATAATAAAGGTAAATGTTTTAAATTCATACTGATAAATATTACCTAAGAAATGTTATCATATTTACCTACTAAATTTAACCTAGGCAATATATATATATATATATATATATATATATATATATATATATATATATATATATATATATATATATATAATGTTTTAAAGTAAATACTAATTAATTGGAATTAAAACTTCTTTCCTTTCAGACAAGTCCAATTTTAATTAAAAAACGTCCGAGTGGTGACATCATTGTTTTAGAAGGTTACACAACTGTAGAGAACCCAAAGTATAAAAATATCAATAAATTATTAATCATTGTGTTAACTGCTTATAATTCAATTAATGAAAGAATATAACAAGAGATTGACTTCAAAGTTACATTTTCAGGATAAGCGATTTCATAAGATCTTCATTATTTACAGTTCTATTTCCTTTGCTTGCATTTTTCAGTATTATTACAAGTATTTACTTTTTTCATTGATAATGACAATTTCGTTCACAGCTTTGCTATAGACCTTCGATGCCCACCCAAGGACACTGGAGAAATTTCCACTCACTTTAGCCTGATATTTTATAACAGCCTAGGGGTTGACTGGTACAATTATGGTACGGAACGTTCTAGAAATATGGTTTTTTATCAACCATTTGACTTTAAGCTTCGCCAGCAGATTAAAATTGAAATAAACACAAGGTCAGGGTTTACTCAGGTAATTTCACCCTTGTTACATTTAGATTACACAATACATTTAGTATGTGTTAATAGAATTTATGCTAGATTAAATTTGAATAGTAATGTTAATAATTATTTTTAAATACATTTAATCCAGATTGAAATAAACGAAGAATTAGGCGGGACAGACTTAGAGGTCATTGGTTGTTATGAATATTTGGAATTTTACGGTGACATAAACGTAGATAAAATCGTGATAACATGAGAGGATCAAAGAGGACATCAGTTGTATTTTATGTTTTTGAATCTTAGGGTATTGTTAAGCAACCCAACACAAAATTGGGGGTAGGTCTATTAAATGATGTATCTCACTCAAATCCATTCAAGCAAATACATTAAACACACTGTGCATACAAATACACACATGCCATGCATATTTACTCAAAATAAACTTAAAGTTTCGTTTATTGTTCAGTACAAACACTAATAAATAATGTTTTTAAAACTTCCCTTTGACACACATTTTTTTCGCACTCACAATTTTACACAAATGAACCAACAAAAATTATAAATATTTTAAATTATTTATTTGTGTGTAAATGTATGTAAAGTAGACCAATTTCCCAAATATTGCAACTAAACTTCAAAAAACAAAAATAAACAAATTAGAAAAAAAAATTACCTGAGTGAATTTACGTCTTGTTTTTGTCTGTGTATAGTTAATAACTGATTAGATTACTGTTGCCGTATTTTGAAAATTTATTTAATAAATGATAATTTAAATTAAGTATGTTTCAATTTAAAAAATTTGATTTGAAGAATACGTTTATAATTTGTTTGCTAGCTTTATTTTGATTGCAACTATTGTTTGTTTTATTCTTGGGATTTTTAAATTCAGTAACTCAATTTTGAGCCATTGCTAATACAGCGTTTTTGCTCAAATGTTTCATACACATTTTCTTTACAAATGCTTGGGTATCAATGTTTAAATTTAATTATGCATTTTGATAGTCATTAAAATATTGCAAAATCAATAACAAAAGGGGATCAGGCAGCTGAGTTCTGGTTGACTATGAAAGTTTTGCCACTGTTGGTTATCGGGAATTGACCACGAAGGGTGGAAAGGCACCTCTCTTTGGAGATCGCAATCTAATGGTCGAGTTTCAGCGCTAACATTTTAAGTTGTAGCCGCTATAGGTAAAAACTTCAATTAGAATAAACTGTAAAAAAACTTGCAAATAAAACATTTATCAACCGATTGTTTAAACAAAAATGTTTTTAATATGACGAAAATAAGTAAATACATTTTATTTGCTTTCATTTAGAGTTAGAGATCTCATGATTAATCACCGTTTTTATTTAAAGAAAATAAATTAGTTTTATTTTCTGATTTTAGTGCATTTAATGGCTTGTTTTTTCAAAGGGTTGTGTGTTTGTATTATTATTTTGCGATGTTCATTATACCCAACATCAATCTAATTTTTTCCCATTTTATAATACATTTAAAATGCATTAATATTTTGATATTTTATTTATATGTAACTGTGCTTTATTTCGTGATATACAATAATCTTATCTTCAATCATTTCATTTTGGTGTATTTATTAAAATATATAAAATTAAATATTTTTTGTTAGTGTTTCGAGGTAAAGTTACAAGGTGCTAAATCGTCAGAATTTAGATTTTTCTCCTAATAAAATAAAGCGGGAGTGATCGTACCTAAACTTTCCTGAACATACTTATATAACACCACTGGGGATGGCAACTCGGGATATAGACATGATTTTTAATCCGTTTTTAATAACTTACACTTTTTAAAATAGAAGAGAGACTCGTAGAAAAAAGAATCGCCCACCAATGAACAGCAAACAATGTATGTATAATAGTGCGGAATTCTCGTACTTTATAAACTCACTAGCCGTCTGTACCCGTTACATGTGAATTATAGACCTATATATTTGTAAAGTTATACATGTTCCAGAAAAATATTTTACAAAATAATTATTGGTCAAAACATAATGTGCTTTACTTTACGTTGAACTATATTAGTGACAAAGCAAAGAAATAACAAAATATCTAAAATTCCGACAAATTCAAAATAACCTAGGCTACCAATACTTATTAGAAAAATTAAAACCAAATTATATTCATTGTTTGTCGACACAACAATATATTAAATTTAAACACCTACAATGATTGTATTCAATTGGCCGTTCAATAGCTAATATGTTTTTTCTAAAAATAATTTTTATTTGTTTGACCTAGAAAAGTGTAAGCATTTCATAGCATAGGCCTACGTCTGGATAAATAGATTTATAGAATCTAGATCAAAGTCAAATTTGAGTGAAATAGTTCATTTCTTCATATTCTAAAATTCGATGATGAAGCCATTAGTGTTATCTTATTTCTGTAGTTTAGACATGTAGCATGTGACGTCATTGTTTATTGCTTTCTTGTCACAACTATAAACACTTTTCCGGTTTCATAATTAAAAAGTGTTTCTACATTCGAACATAATTTTTTTTTTCTTGAAGTAAAATTTAGTAAATACATTTAAAACCTAATCCATATTATAACTTTGAACAAAAGTCCATATTTTCTCATGCTCCATATATCGCCTAGATACTGATGTCTGAGGCTTGGAAAATACGGATAGGGAGAGACAGACAGACAGACAGACAGACAGACAGACAGACAGACAGACAGACAGACAGACAGACAGACAGACAGACAGACAGACAGACAGACAGACAGACAGACAGACAGACAGACAGACAGACAGACAGACAGACAGACAGACAGACAGACAGACAGACAGACAGACAGACAGACAGACAGACAGACAGACAGACAGACAGACAGACAGACAGACAGACAGACAGACAGACAGACAGACAGACAGACAGACAGACAGACAGACAGACAGACAGACAGACAGACAGACAGACAGACAGACAGACAGACAGACAGACAGACAGACAGACAGACAGACAGACAGACAGACAGACAGACAGACAGACAGACAGACAGACAGACAGACAGACAGACAGACAGACAGACAGACAGACAGACAGACAGACAGAATAGTGCGCGCATGGGCTTTCATATATTAGGATATATGTGATTTAGAAATTGGAAGTAGCGTAAAGTATGTATTTAAGTGTACGGAAGTTATTCAAAATTTGACGGAAGGCAGAGAATTAGATCTTTTACTTATATGTCAAGTTTCGTTGATCTATCTTAAAACTTTACTCAAATTATGGGCCTTTAAAAAAACTAAAAGTTCAACTTCCGGTTACCGGAAATCGCTGAAACGTTAATGCAGACCTACTCAAAAACTTCTATTAATTTAGTACACCAATGTGGCAATTTTGAACCCATTCTATTCAGGCGTTAGGATTTCTATTGCGTATATAGTCGGCAGGTCGTACAGCATAACTTTTGGCTTTGATATAAAAATATATAGATCATTCAAATCCTATTATCGGTGTCCCAAATTAAAAGAGATATCACTCTTACCATTTCAATTATTTTATTTTTATTATTTAATAACATTTTTTTTCTCTTTTACTTTCTCGTTGACAGACTGTCGGACTTTAATTCTTTTAATTCATTTACGAACTTAGATGATGCTAAACATTTACTTCTGTACAGTAGATATGTTTAAGATTAGGGTTCGTTTAGAAATACGATAATTTTAAAGAGTGTTATAAGTAAAGGGACATTCAGTTTTAGACATCTTAGTCTTGGAAAGAGTGGGTACATTTTGTAAAGATTTGACGAATGACTTGGAACAGGTATCAGAACGCATCTGGAGATCGACATTCCAGTTTGTTAGTTATTCCTCACCTCCCTCCCCCACAACACACGTAATTAAGTCCTCATATCAATTACAGCTCAATATGTTCTATATAAATACCGAATTCACAAGCCTATTATGAAAAATAATTGTGGATGTATGTGTCGCTACAAAAACAAATGCTTTTTTGTATGACTGGACAAAAGCAAACCACTTTAACAAACCATGATGTAAGGTTAGTAAATCTTTTAGGACAGGATTGTTTGTAGAGTTGTGGTAAATCATGTGACATGCAGAAGGAAGTGAAATGTGACATGAGGGAGTCATGGTTGGACAATAGTTAGGTTCAGGGCACCCAAGGTTTAAAAAGAGAGGACGGGGTGCCGAGGGAAATGAAAGAGAGAATAAGGGCGCACACAAGGAATCGTGAAAAAGCCAGGGTTGGGCGGTAATTTGGCTGAGGTCGCCATTGTTGGATGATAGGGCGGCGTGTAGGTGCAGTAGGATAAGGCACCTAGGTTGGCAATTTAGAGTGACACAAGTATTGTCTTCGAAATAAGATTTCAGTTAGTTTTAGTTCGACTTCGTTAACATAGACGAACCGTTTTTCTTATATTAACTGAGAGTTCTGATAAAATGGTGCACGAATTAAGAATATTATAACCTGCTAAATGTACATATAATAAACATACAAATCATTTGTATCAATACGCCACTGAATGGTCGTAACATCTGTCACAGTATTAGCCTCTAAAACAAATTATTATCGTCGATACTACCCACATATATACGATGTTGATGTTCTAAACAAATCATACATACTCCACATATGTCACCTCCTACGAAATTCAGAATCTATAGAGCAAAATATAGAATACAACTTACTCTGTACTTCTAATTCAAACAAAATATTTAACTGAGAGGTGAGCTAAGCTTAATAAGCATTTTTTTAAAAACAAAAAACGCTTTTGAATTCAGCTTCATACCATTTTTTCTTATATTCAGGCGATTCATGTGATACACTCGATCATGAACCTACAAGTTGTAGTTTGTTTTTATTTGACTACCTTAATATGTTTGACGTGTGTAGACGGAATAAATGACAAGATAAGCCCAAATGAGAGTGTTCTAAATGAAAAGATTAACCCACACTTAGATGTTATAGATGGGAAAGCCAGCACATATATTCAAAGCAGATCTTCTAAAGAAGTAAATAGTAATTTTGTAAACATTTTTGAAAGAATTTTTATAAATCTTAAAATCTGTCATCAGTAAATATATATATATATATATATATATATATATATATATATATATATATATATATATATATATATATATATATATATATATATATATATATAAATATATATTATATATATATATATATATATATATATATATATATATATATATATATATATATATATATATATATATATATATATATATATATATATATATATATATATATATATATATATATATATATATATTTTTTTTTTTCGTTTTGTCATAACCATTGTACACGGCAACAAACTACTAGATAGCTTAGACCTACCAGAAAAACATTTCTAATTAATGTTTTTACACGAAATTAACTTACTTTCAGTTACAGTATTCATTGCCTTACGTTAGAGAAATGTATTTTCCGATGTATTCAGGAAAAGAGATCGTTATCGAAGGAGTTATCCAAGGAAATGCTACAAAGTTAGTTGCAATTTTATTTTTATGTTTTAAATTGTACAATTGCTCTTTGATTTTTACGATTATCCGAAATAGTATGATTGAGCATAAATTGTATATATTTTCTTTTCAATATGAGATATATATTAACGTGCTTTTTAATCATCAATAAAATTGCTTTAAATCGATTTAGAAAGAAAACGTTATAAAATATAAATTTAATGTTGTGCCATTCATACTTAAAAGCTATTTTAAAATTTAAAATTCGTAAAATATGTATTTAATCTAAATTCAAATAAAAAATAATGCAAAAACAACATCTAAAGTTTTTGAATGTGAAATTTCTATTTTATTCAGAACTTTGTTCCATAACTTTGGTATGAATATGCATTCAACTTACTATGTAAATTGTTTATGAACATTTTATATATTGACAGCTTCACCACTCTACTTTGCCAAACAATTTCTTGTGATAGTATTTTGCCCTTATCATTACACATTGACTTCAAAGATAAAAAAATGATTAGGTCTTCCTATTACTATGCTGGTGTAATGAAAATGAAAGAAGATTATGGTATTCTAGCACTAGAACCTGGAAATCCATTTATACTGCAAATAAAAATTACAGACTCAATGTTTCAGGTACATATAACGTATTTAAAATCTGAAGAAAATAAGTTTAAAAATAAAATGTATTGTGTGTTATGTGTGATTTAATATCTTAAAGAAATATAATTTTAAAGTGTAATAGATTTTAATATCAAATCCCAGATTTCCTAAGTGTTTGCCATCCTAGATATAACTAGTGAACGCCTACTTAAAACAAAATATATTTTAAAACTTGAAATATGAAGCATATTAACAAAAAACCAACCAGTTCTCCATAAACTTTTTATAATAGAAATGTATGTTTTAAGCAATTAATGTAATAATGCAATATTCATTTTTAAAAATATGTATTCGACCGGGGGGGGGGGGATTTATTTTCAACAAAACCGTCCATATCACTAGATTGTGTGAGATAATAATATTTTAAAATATAAGCCCCTCCGATAATTTTAAATTTTTTAAATGGTCTCAGCCCTCTCTTTCTTCCATTTCAACTGGATAAAACAGGGCAAATTTACAGGGTTAATTTTTTTAAATGTTTGTAGTGATCTAACACCCAAAGTGTGTAATCCGGTGTGGAGAGCCCCTCCCCCCCCCCCATACCCGCACGTTGTAACGATATTTCATGTGTCCCACAGATGTTGCAATACTAGCCGTTCTAAAACTCTTGCAGTTAAAACATGTGTAATTAACTTTGTTCTTTGATTTCTCTATTGCGTAGGTTTGTGTATCTAAACAATTAGACGATTTAATACCCGAAACTGATAAACAATGATAAACGTGGCTTCTTTTGAGTGTGCTTGCTTTTCTTTTGCTGTTGTATTTGTTCTTGTGTATGTTTGTGGGGTCCTAGGTGCTTTGACCACAGGTGCTTTGACCATATGGGGTTTGACCACAGCGGGGCTTTTACCACAACGGGGCTTTTACCACAGGGGGGCATAATTTATAGATTTTAAAATATAAACAATAAAATTCTATTTTAATTTATGATACAATTTATACCATTTTTTACATGTTTCCTGAAGTCCATTAATAGAAATAAACATGTACTAAAATAGTCAAGAACGATATTTTAGTCTCCACATAAAGGCTGGTGCTAGACCTCATGGATGTTTTAAAAATATAAACGTAAAACACATAATGCGACATATAACACGTTTCACAAATAAATAATGTTGATGTACTTGAAAATACAAAGCATATATAAAGGATATAAAAGGATTAAAACATGCCAACAAATAGTCAAAGAAGTAATACTTGTATTGTTAACTAAATGACAGATGAATTAAAATACTATTACATCCTGCAGTAATTTAAAATATAATTAAACAACTTTTAAAACTAATATTTACCATATATGGACAAAACGCTTGTTATCATATGCCAGCATTGGACAAACCATCTGTGGTCAAATAATCTATATAGACAAAACACCTGTGATCAAAGCCGAACACATCGCTTGTGATTCAAACACCCGTTGACAAACCACTTGTGATCAAAGACCCTCTGCTGAGAAAACACATGTGGTCAAAGCCCCTATGGTCAAAGCCCCTATGGTCAAAGCACCTGTGGCCAAAGGTCCGCGCACCGTTTGTGGCAAAATCTTGTATCTCAATGTTAACTCAATCCTAATGCTGCGACGTCTTTATACCTTTTTAGATACATTTGTCACCAACGACAACGCGAGAAATTTAAATTTTAATTCACTTACAATATAGGTTATTTTATAAAATTAAAAAAAATAGATTGCAACATTGAATAATAAAAGAATTGTTTAAATATCAGCAATTAACAGTAACTGTTGTTTGATTTTTTTTCTTGACTGTGAAACAACAACTGACTACAAATATGAAGAAATTTAACTTTTAAGGATAGCAAGCTTTTGATTGGGTTTTAAACCTTATAATTTTAGCCAATTTTTAATAAGAACTAATAATTTAAAAGACAATTCTTAATATTAATAAATAAATAAAAAATAAATAAATACATAATTTAGGCGCTAATGAAATGCTTATATAAGACGCAAAAAAGTTGATTTTCTTTTCTAATTTCAGTTTATTTAAGAGTTTAGTATTTTAAAAGTTTTTACTTTTGTTTACTATTTTGGTAATACAAGGTTAGAGATTTGTATATTATCAAATTTTTCATTATTATAAAAATTAATCTTTAATGAAAAATCATTTTTAAAAATTATGATATATATTTATATATATATATATATATATATATATATATATATATATATATATATATATATATATATATATATATATATATATATATATATATATATATATATACATATATATATATATATATATATATATATATATATAGGCCTATATTTTTTTTTTTTTTTATTTATTTATTTATTTATTTATTTATATTATATTAGATTCTTGTTGACGGTGACATATTTGTCACTTCCCCAAACAAAATGCCCATATTCTATGTCAAATATGTTTATGTCTCCGGCCAAATTGCATTAAACTGGATTCTTTTCTCAGTAAGTTTTACACATGTTTATTTGATTTAAAAATGTGTATGAGTATGCAGTCAACATTTAAATTCTTAATATTTATTATTTTCATTGCTGTCATATACAGCTATGCACTAGATACATTGCAACATAAACATTAAATATTATTTCATATTTTTATAGTATTTTCGATAATTATTATAAAAGTCAATACATTTGGTTACTTAATATTATTAATGCTGATAAAACAAACTGAAATTTTAATTATTTTAAAATCATCATTACAGTTATACAAAGCTGTAAGTATCAATGTATTTTAAATCTTTAATACATAATTTTGATATCAAGGGGCAGATAATTATCTTTTAGCGAAATGAAGCTACCTCGCTGAGTTTTTAATTTATTTAGTTGTGTATGTTGTATATTAAATGAATTAACAACAAGTAGAAAATAAAACAAATATAAATATTACCTTGACTAACTAATAGTATGATGATTTATTTAAAAAAAATATTATTACTTTAGAATTTAAAGAAAACAATATAAAAATATTTATTTAGAAAGATGAGCTGTATTAAAGGTTTACGAATTACGTTTCTTATTTAGAAATTATTTCTTTTTCATTTTTATACTCTGTAACCCAAATGGTTTACGTGTTATTACACGAATAATAATCTTCAGTTAAATACACACAACTTTTACATTTTCAGGCTAGTCGTGTGAATATTGAAAGACATCAAGGCGGTGAAAAAATTGTCGTCGATGGATACCCAACTGCAGATAACTCAGAGTATAAGAATATCGATAAATAATTAATTATTCCTTTTCTTACTATTTAAAAAATCAATTAAAAATGTATTTTAGAAATTGAAATTTGGCGCTATTTACAATATTTACAAAAGCATTTGCGAGATATCAATTTCGTATGGTCGGCATGCTTTATTAGCTACTATTTAGCGTTATTATGTTATTGTTACTGTGTTACGTGTTCTTCTTGCTTTATAAAAGAGTAAAACTTGTAATGAAAGCAATATTTCATTTGCTACTTTTATAAAGTACACTAAAATAACTATCTCAAAATTGTATATTTTTCATAATCCAAAATTATAAAATAAGATGTCAAATATTTATTTTCATCTTTTATAGTAAACTATTCCATTACAGTTTTGCAATCAAAATTCGATGCCCACCCGAGGGTAATGGAGATATTGCCACTTTTCTAAACCTGAAACTTTTGGGCAATGGGGACTTTAAAACTGTAGTTGACCATTATAAAAATGGTAGTTGGATTTATCAAACTTCGTACATGAATTTTGCCTACAAACTTCAGCAGCAGTTTTATATTGAATTTGTAACAAGTTCAACTTCAACTGTGGTAATGACACTATATTTATGCACTTAAAATATAAATTAGCTTTAAGTTATTTGGTCTTTAATGTAGATATTTATTGTGTTCATTTGATTTTTACGAAATCAAACGTTATAGATTTGTAAATAGATAAATGTTGATTAATTTAAATTTAGATTACAGTAAACAAGAAACTGGTTGAAACCAGGAAACACGGAATGGACTGTTATGACCATCTGGAAATTACCGGTGGCGTCAAAGTAGACAAAATATTGATGAGTGGATTTTAGATGTGCAAAAACTTAAATCTTTTTTGTTTTTGTCGTTTATGGTGTTATGGTGTTATGACTTAAAGTATTTTAAGATAAACACATTTTTTGAAATTTGAAACTTTAAATTTTCTGTCTCAGACATAGACATACATACACATACACACACACACACACTCACACACATTCAAACCTTGCCTTTCGGGGGGGGGGGATGTTCCCAAATCAAACTAGTATCAAAATATGCTTACAAGCAATTAACTGCTCACACAGTAACAGCTTACACACTGATACCAACAAATATAATTTTATTTTTTATTTTTTGGAAAAGGGTCTTAACATTAGCATTTTTTTCTACGTTATTTCATTGAAAACCATTAGTAATTATAAAAGATTGTGTATATATTTTCCCCTTATATTTTAAAACGTTCAATGAACTATAAAGAAGAATCTTATTTTGAGTTAATTCCATTGACTGGAAGACGTACTTAATCTATTTCTGGTTTCTCAAAAACACATACATAGGTAACCTTTAAAACAAAATTAAAATATAAGTATTAAATCAAATGCGCAGAATTCTAATGACATTTGAACTATTTACAGTAATTGAATGTCACCCTTACTCTATTTTCGTGTGAACAGGATATTATATGTACTATTTAAGTTAGAGTGACTCAATTTCGTATCTAAGTATCATATCTTATACTTAGATTGTTTTCAATATTTTTTAGTGATTCCTAAAAACAGAAAGTGTTACTTTATTCATTTTGTAGTATATACAATTGCGAGAATTTAAATACTGATCAATTAGGTGGACGTTGTGTAAACATAGGTCATTTTTTCTTTTTATTTGATTATTTAAAAACTTACGGTTATTTCCGGTGACCGAAATTAGTAGTTTACACACCTACCTGAATTAATTATTTCAAAACTTTCACGTCGTTGGAGAATCGATCACATTTCAATCTGACATAATTGTAACAAAATTAGATGTTTAATACAAATTATGAAAATCATGTTTTCTTTAAAAAAATACTAATTATCCGCTTTATTATACACTTTGTGTTTGCGTTTATTTTCGGGGCGCAATTCGTTTTCTGTGCGATTCTATTATATTTTAAATTATTAAGTATAAAAATATTGTTACAAAAAAACTTTAGGTAAGATTAATCCCGTTTTAATTTATTTACTAACTACAATCAATGTTTAAGTTATTAAATAAGAACCATGTCTGTATTTTTTAATTCTTGCAATTAATAAAAAAATGATATATTGGTATATTGGTGTCAACATATATATATATATATATATATATATATATATATATATATATATATATATATATATATATATATATATATATATATATATATATATATAGAGAGAGAGAGAGAGAGAGAGAGAGAATACAATTTTTCTACAATCCTGCATTACATTGGTAGAGCAGTGGCTTCTTTTTCACAAGCCCACCCTCACAACTGGCGGATATTTTATCCCACCCTCATATTCATGTGTGAGGATTTGTAGAACTAGATGGATTGAGTTAACACGACGCACTTTTTGTAACGTGTATTGTAATGTAACTCGACACTACTTTACATTAATCTCAAATAAACAGGCCTACCTTAATCTGCAAAAACATGTTCGTTGAATATCTGCGTAAAGCTATAACGTGTAATCATTTTTTGTCGTAACAAAAAATAACGACCTCAACGTAATACGATATACAAAGATAGAAGTTTTATCAGGGTGGCTTGGACAAAAAGGAGGCTTATGGCACCGTGAGTGGGGGTGGGGGTGGGGGGGACGAATGGAAGGAATGAGTAAACCCAAGATGGAGGAAGGGATCCATGCGGTCGAAAATAATGAAGTTCTGTGTGTCCCTAGAGCATACTTTAATAACGAAAAGAGACCTTTGAGCGGCCAAACGTTACGACTGGTAGTAATTTTGGTTGTCATAACATCTTAGTTTTATTTTTTTTTGCTTATTTTACATATATTTTCCTCAGCCATTCCCGCATATAGTCGCATATTTAGAAATTACTTTTAATGTAAAGCATAATATTTGTTTTAAAATGATATGTGGGCATTTATGTTTTACTGAATCTACTGTTATATTCAAAGAGAACCCCAAAAAAAAATATCCACTATTGATTTTGGACCATGAAATAGGCGACATCTATCACAATATTAGCTTCAAATCATAGTATAAGCCACGTCACTTGCAATGTATCTGGTACATATGCTATTTAAAGTTAGGTTGCTGTCACCCACATATTTTTTTGTCGATAGGCTTACCCGGTGTAGTTCGCACTCATTCCACTCGCTACGCCTCTGCTACTATAATCCGTTCAGTATTCGAGTGGACTTCAAGGACAATGACCGAGCAGTTATAACAAATAAAAAAAAACCTAACAGCAAATAAAAATTATAATCTGAGTCTTAATTAAATCATAATTTAAAATAAGAAAAAAAAAACAATTATAAACTAAATTTTTATTGTATTATTTCAGAAATCTAATATATATTTTACTAAAAAGGCGATATGTGTTTATACTTATTTAGATCTAAAGCGTGTGTATGAGATAACCATTATGAAACTCCAAATTTTGTTAGTTTTGTATTTGACAACTTTCATGTGTATGACGCGTGAAGGTGAAACAAATGACAAGACAAGCATAAATCTACAAAGAAGATCTCCTGAAAGAGTAAGTCTTAATTTTTATTTATATATTTTATTAAAAAATAAAACAATTTCTTATAAGTTAAAACATATCCAACATTAATGTTAAATGTAACATTTTTTTATTATCCCACACAAGCATGTATATATATATATATATATATATATATATATATATATATATATATATATATATATATATATATTATAGACAAATTATTTCAAACAAAATATGTTAGAACAAATAACCTTAAAACAAAAATATATATTTTACGCTAAATAATTAAAACATGTTATCGCAAATCCACATTTCCAAAATGTTTACAACATGGCTTTTGACTTTCAAGGTTTTAAATCCCCTTCCATCTTTAAATAAATGTATCTGAAAATGTAAATTGTTATGTACTATAGGTGAAAGATTTTGCAACGACATTTTATTAATGATGCCTAGTAAATTTAGAACACAACGTATTTAAATCAACACAAAAATGGAGGTAGATCACTTTAAAAAAGCTACATATATATATATATATATATATATATATATATATATATATAAATAAATATATACATATAAATATATACATATATATATATAAATATATATATATATATATATATATATATATATATATATATATATATATATATGTATATAAACTCTAAATCCTCAATTATGACTTCAAGCCGACTACCCCTCTCACTTTCTATTTTTTGTTTAAAATAAACTACTTAACAATACAGTTTTCACAGCATCCAATCACTTTGAGACCGTATCCTCAAGTCAGGAAGCGAACGTTTACAGATATTACTTGAGACTAATCATTATTGAAAAATTGGTTTTCCTTTTAGGCACTAAATTACGAAAAACATTTCTGTCCAAGCTATTTATTAAGGACACTATTATTGTTTTGGTTACAGTATCCTTTGCCATACGTTGGAGAAATTCGTTTTCCGATGTATTCAGGAAAAGAGATCACTGTCGAAGGACCCAACTCAAGAGAGGATTTTGGGTTAGTTGCAAAACATACCCATCCTTTGATATTCTATGGGGTCTTTATTTGTTTACTAGCAGCTTAAATAAAATGTTTTTCAAACGCTTTTTAAATGTGTTTTTTAAAACGTAAATAGTTTAATATACGCACACATTTAAAATCAATCAAACCTGCAAATGGGCAATTAATTAAAAACTTTATTTGTTTTAAATTCTGAAAGATGTTCAGAAAATATAAAAAGCTCTCTTGAAATTAACATAATCTTTAATAAAAATGTATTGGAAAATTTTGACATTTTCATTATATTATTTTGCATATGCATTTAATCGTACAGAATTAACTATATCCTCACAGATTCACTGTTAAACTATGCCAAACAGTTTCTTGTGGTAGCGAAGTGGCATTAGAACTGAACATTAATCCCAATGAAAATAAAATGATCAGATCTTCCAGTTATGATAACGAGTCGAAAAAAGAGGATGATTACGGTGTTCTAATCTTCAAATCTGAAAATCAATTTAAGATTGATATAATAATTACAGACTCAATCTTTAAGGTATATATCGTATTTAAAATATGAATAAAACATATTTAAAAAATGGAATATTTATCAAAAGGTAAAGTCCTAACATGAATTTCAACAAAATTTAATGCAACTATCTCTTATTTCCATCTTATAACTTCAAGCATTTTAGTTTGGTTTATAATATGCAAATATTTACATACTATTTTTCCAAGTTTACTTTTCATAAGATTAAAATTTTAGAAAAAATGACCTAAATATTATATCAAACTTTATAAGTCTCTTTTATATTGAGATCATTTGTCTGTGAGATTGCATGTGTTTGAGAATATTTGTCCTGAAGTATTTTGTCATTTATCCTTGAAATCACAAATAAATGCATAAAAAGCATAATTAAAATAAGATTGGCAGATAAAAATCTTTTGCTATATACGGCCCATATAGCTGTCCATAGACATGGATAAAATTGGAATCATATGAAACGGTTAGACGAGAACGGATAACGAAAAAGTGAAGAATGTGGTACACAGTAATCCGGATACAGTGATAAGTGTGCAGGATAGAAAATCCCGAAAAAGACTATTGAAAGCGAACAAAGGAATGCAAAAATTACATGAGATTTGATGAGCGACGCACTAAATACAGTTCCTGGAGATGTGTACTTGCATCCATTTACTCCCCCAGAGTTTTTAAGAAATAAATCATTTAGCTGGGATAAATGATTTAAACATACAAAATGTGTTTGGAGTTGCACAATGGCTACAGTAAAAATATGGTTATTGTGTTGATTTTATAATAATAAAACTAAATTCATATTTGATGCTAACTTTTGTCGACAAGTGCAAACAGACTACCTCGTTGTGTGAGGTTGTAATAGATAGAGCAATAGAACATTTGATAGCGATAATGTATTCTCTTTTTTATGTTTCATGTATGTTTTGATGTATGTTTGATCAGGCGAATTGAAACGAATGAATCTTGGTGCGAACGTTTATTGAACGCATGGAAGATGTGACGCGGTACGCAAGAATGTGACGTTTCAATGTTGGTTCGTTTTTGCCGGGGGAAGAAGTTTAAATTCGTCTTGTTCTTGTTGTCTTATGGTGAGGTCGTGTATGTAGTCAAGTTAACATATCATCTGTTCAAGTCGTCGTATGTATTATTATGGTGCTATAAATAAGGAAGTTAGATAATGCCATCTTGTCAAGTTATTCGTCAAAGTTGATGTCGTCGTACTTGTAAGAACTCTAGGATGAATACTAAATTGGTTAAAGAGGAAATGAATGGTAGCACAAACCCTGTTACTACACAGTTGCGGGATAAATAGATCCCAGATATAACACTTTACTGCGCAGATTTAGGATTCTACTAGAATGACACTATTGGTTGCTGATCGCTAAAAAACCTTAATTTATTTTTCATTTGGTCGTACAAGCTAAATTTTTGTGGTATTGATATTTTGCAAAGACACACATTTTTATTTTTGCATTAAATGAAAAAACGGAATGCTTGTTTCAAAAACAAAACGACGGCATTTATTTTTCAGATTTATGTGGATGGAGATATATTTGTTACTTACCCAAACAATATGCCCATTGCAAACATCAAATACATTCATATATCTGGGAAAGTTGTAGTGCAGTGGATTCTTTTCTCAGTAAGTTGTCTACACAGTTGTGTCATAAGAAATACGTTAGCGTACCATGTTAAAATGTAATGATTTCAATAACGTTAAGGAATAATTGAGAAAAAAGTCACAGAAGAAAAAATACTTACTTTAATGTGAAATAAATATAAAAATAATAAATAATGATAAATATATTTAAAAAATGCATCAAATTAAACTGTCAGCTTCATGTAGTTTTCGCATACATTTATAGTTTTGATATATGTCGTCATAAACTTTAAATATAAGGAGATATGTGTTGTTTGTATGTAACGAGCCGACCCGCGGCGTATCACACGCCGCTATTTAGTTTTATTTTCTACTTTTCAGTAATTCATAACTTGTGAATTTGACAGTACCAATGCTGTCACTGAAAATATTTGCTTTAAAGTACTAAAACCCTTCTTTCCCCCAACCCCCCCCCCCCCCGTGAAAGCAGCCTCCTCTTAGTTACTTCCCCTAAGTTTAAAACAGTTTCAGACTAAATTATCTGCCCCTAATAGGCGTCACTAAACCCGGCTATACTATTGTAAACATTTAGCGTGAACTACAGCTCACCAGACCATGTGGGGTTGGGGGTGGTTCTGATATGCCTAGAGAGGAAGAGAGGGACTGCTAGGCGTGCTTACAGCTTGGTGTTTTCTGACGTCTCTAAGAAGAGCATTATATATATAGACTGTTTGTTGTGTATACTATGTATTTTAACTATGTAGCCTATATAGTTATTCTGTTTTTTTTTTAAAGTAACTCAATAGTATTATTGTTTTTACAGTATGTCAACCCTGTAAGTATGTACACAATGAATGCTGTAATTTTTTTTTTTTTTAAATGAATACTTAAAGATTATTGCTTGATTGAATTTAAATTTTTAAGTATTTTTTTTTTAAATTAAGGAATGTATAAATAGAAAATATTATTGAAATATATAGGCCTACAGTATAATTATAAACATACTTTTACGATATATTTATCATATCTTAAAATAACAGAAAAACATGGATTCTTTCATTTTAGGTAAATCCAGTTAAAATAGAACGACGTCCGGGTGGTGAAAGAATTATCGTTTATGGACACAGAATTGCAGAAGAAGAGTATTATCATCTCTTAAAAAATTATCATGGTCGATTTTGAAAAAAAATATTTATAAACGAGGTTATAAAATTAAAAACGATACCTTGCGTAATGTTACAGCTAGCTGGAAGTGTAGATGTAGGTGTAGGTGTAGGTTTAGGTGTAGGTGTAGAGTAGGAGTAGTAGTAGTTGTAGGTGTAGGTGTAGGTGCAGGTGTAGGTGCAGGTGTAGGTGTAGGTGTAGGTGTAGGTGTAGGTGTAGGTGTAGGTGTAGGTGTAGGTGTAGGTGTAGGTGTAGGTGTAGGTGTAGGTGTAGGTGTAGGTGTAGGTGTAGGTGTAGGCGTAGGCGTAGGCGTAGGCGTAGGTGTAGGTGTAGGTGTAGGTGTAGGTGAAGTTGTAGGTGTAGGTGTAGGTGTAGGTGTAGGTGTAGGTGTAGGTGTAGGTGTAGGTGTAGGTGTAGGTGTAGGTGTAGGTGTAGGTGTAGGTGTAGGTGTAGGTGTAGGTGTAGGTGTAGGTGTAGGTGTAGGTGTAGGTGTAGGTGTAGGTGTAGGTGTAGGTGTAGGTGTAGGTGTAGGTGTAGGTGTAGGTGTAGGTGTAGGTGTAGGTGTAGGTGTAGGTGTAGGTGTAGGTGTAGGTGTAGGTGTAGGTGTAGGTGTAGGTGTAGGTGTAGGTGTAGGTGTAGGTGTAGGTGTAGGTGTAGGTGTAGGTGTAGGTGTAGGTGTAGGTGTAGGTGTAGGTGTAGGTGTAGGTGTAGGTGTAGGTGTAGGTGTAGGTGTAGGTGTAGGTGTAGGTGTAGGTGTAGGTGTAGGTGTAGGTGTAGGTGTAGGTGTAGGTGTAGGTGTAGGTGTAGGTGTAGGTGTAGGTGTAGGTGTAGGTGTAGGTGTAGGTGTAGGTGTAGGTGTAGGTGTAGGTGCAGGTGTAGGTGCAGGAGGTGTAGGTGCAGGTGTAGGTGATTTTGTTAATGTTTTTGGTTGTGTTTGAGGATGTTCTGAGGATTGGTTTATGTTTAAGCTTATTCTAATGTTTGTGTTTTTGTGTGTTTATGTAAATGTTTTGAGATTGTAGTGAGGGTTAGGGTATATGTTATGCACGTGTATGAGTTTCTGCTTATGTTTTATTTGCGCGTATTTTTTTCTTTAGACATAGAAGTGAGATGAGGGAAGAATATTTATGTCTATGTTCGTTTATAGTTATATATATTTATATTCATGCTTGTGGTTGAAATTAGTTATGGTTAGGATCATGTTTGGAGTTCTGTTAAGGGTTATATGTTTGCATATATACATTACTTGGAAATTTAGTAAATTCCCAAAATTCGGGAAGCGCCAGTTTTATGATGCTGAATAAACACACGTTAAGGTCCTTTATAGATAGGTTTTTCACAAAGACCAGTGTGGAGCCTAGCCGGGACGGCTAGTTATAAATATGTTTAATTGAAGCTTATATCGCTTAAAAACGAAATACTAGGTTTAAAAATATATACTATATAGTTAATTTGTTCTTTTCATGAAAACTATTTGTTCACAGTTTAACACTCAACATTCGATGCCCATCTGAGGGTAATGGTAACGATAGCAGTGAAAATATAGCTACTCAAGTAAAATACATCAAGTATAAAAATCATAATGGCGTTGTCATGAACGCATTTTTTGTCAGCACTGTTGAAAACGGACAAAGGGTTATTATAACTACGAATTATAATAATGACCTCGTACCTGATAGGCAATTTTGTTTTTACTTTACAACAACTTCGAATTCAACTGTGGTAATTTCAACATTGTATATACTAAAGACACAATAGATTTTAAGTATTTTCTGTTTAATATAGCTCTGTAGTTTTTGTTACAGTAATAACAATAATAAAAATATTATTATTATTATTATTATTATTATTATTATTATTATTATTATTATTATTATTATTATTATTATCATTACTATTATTAGTATTATTAATATTATTATTATTATTATTATTATTATTATTATTATTATTATTATTATTATTATTATTATTATTATTATTGTTATTATTATTATTATTACAAGTTCATAATTAACTGCAATTACTTTCAGATTACAGTAAACAACAAATTAATTGAGACCAGACAGCATGGAATTAGTTGTTATGATAACCTTGAAATTTCCCAACATGCCAAAGTAGAAAAACTTGTGATGTCATGAGAGGATCATAGAAGTTTTACACAAGAACTAAAGTTTTACTTTATGTTTTATCATTTACTTGTATTATTATGATTTAAATTATTTAAAATAAAGACAAACGTACGCATATATACACAGACATATATAAACAGACAAATATATATTTTTAATTGGAAATGGGCCTTGAAATTATTACTTAAAAAGTCTTAGAAGTTTCATTGGATTAAGATTTAAAATTTTCTAACATCATTTCTTATTATTTTTATTAAGATTAATATTTAATAATATCAGTTTTATGTTAATTTTACATAATCGCATTTATTTTTTGTAAATGATGGAACTTGACTGCAAATATATATAATGCCAACGGTTCATCTTTCGAAACAGTTTAAAATAGTGCATCTTTCAGGTGTTTTTCCCAATGAGCCGACACTTACAAAATCATATATTTTGTGTATAGATTTTATTTCTCTAAAGGAGGGGGGGGGGGGGTTGGCGGGTAGTGGGGGGTGGGGCGCAGTAATTCCTCAAAGAAACTAGTTTAAAAGACTTATTCTTTATATTACAATACTAGAACTGGTATCAAGAGATAAAAATATGTTCGTATTGTTAATATTTAATTTGGTAATATTTTTTCCAGACCGTTTGATTTCTTAAAGGTATTTACTTTGTAGATTATGAAAAATCAAATATGCTTGTATTGTTTAATTATTTCATTATTAGATTGATTGTTGTAAAACAATTGTTCTTCTCCATTGCTCGTGATTCTTGAGATTAATTTGGATTATGTTGATCACAATTTAAAGCTGCATGCATCGAAATGGTATTGTTTAATTTATATATAACTGTGTGAATGTCGTCTGCTAAATATTTTAAACTCGTATTATAAGTAGCTCGAATTATTTAATTAGATTATTGTTCTTCTGGTGGGGGAGTGTATTGAAGAGTGAAAGTGTGACGCAGTACGCAAGAAAGTGACGTTTCACTGTGTGATCGTTGTTACCGGGGAAGAAGTTAAAAGTAATCTTGTTCTTGTAGTCTTCGGGTGAGGCCGGATAATAATATGTATTCAAGTCTTAAAATCATTTGTATGCCTTCATGTCATTATATGTATAGGTATGTTGTAATAAAAAATATAGTCAAATAACATCATCCTATCACATCTTTTGTATACGTTGATGTCGCGTGCTTTGTAATGAGCTAGTGAATGGCTAGACATAATATAATGGTAGTATAGTCCCTCACATTGCATAGCTGCGTGATACATAATTCCCAGTTATAACAATATAGCTGACTAGATTTAGACGCTTAAATGACTAACTGCTGCTTAACTCTTTCCCAAACTACTAACGCTATCAATCTCTCAAATCCTAACTGACACTTCAACGGTCAGCTGACCGTTTCACGTGAATGGTCAGTTCGTTACTCTGCAATTCTATTGCTGCTGCTTGACCAACATCTATGACACATATTTGATTTGAGGCAGGCTTGACACAAACAGAGATGCTCAAAAAAAGCGTTACTTAATATCAGTTGACTAAGTCAATATAAAAATCGTCTGGTGTTCATTGATCCTGACAGCTAAAGCTGTCTTTTTAGTGTAAGTTATGTATTTGTTAATGGTGTATCAACATATTAAAACTATAATTATTCTTTACCTTAGCTACATAGGCTAATCATGTCGTTTAATCTTACTCTGATAACCAGAGCTAGTCATAGACAGACTTGCCTAACATACGGGCTAAGCCATGCATGTTTTGTTAAAAAAGTGTCATTTGCTTTAACGGCATGCGATAATCCCAATTTTCTGTACCCGCATGTGTTGGGGTTTATTTGGGATTAAAGTTTCTGAAATTAATGAGCAGAATGATAGATTATGTTCTTAGGATGTGTCGTTTTGTCATGTAGTTTTGGATGCATACAATCCTTAAAGGGTTAGCGAGATTTATTTTAATAATGTGGTATATTGTATTTGAAAATAGAATGCCCGTGTAACATCAGGTGTATTATGTTATTCGATGCATTGTATAATTGCTATACTATTTTTTTTCTTTTCTTTTGTGAAACATTTTTCTTCTTTTTTTAAATTAGATTAATCTACTTGGCAACCAGCTGGATATATATATATATATATATATATATATATATATATATATATATATATATATATATATATATATATATATATATATATATATATATATATATATATACATATATATATATATATATATATATATATATATATATATATATATATATATATATATATATATATATATATATATATATATATAATATCCCTTAAATGCATGACTTTTTAATAATGATTGAAAAAAATATGTTTATATTGTTTTGGTGGGTATATGAAGAGTATAGTCAAGTAAAAAAATATTTTTAGTTTAAACATGTTTTTTAACTAAAATCCGAAATGTTGCATGTCTGCAACATCATGTAATAAGGTGATACTTTTTAAGACAGTTGTTGATCTTGTTACAACAAAGATATATGTTGCACTTGTGGCAAACTGTTTGAGCTTGATGTGAATTTGCACCTGTCATTGCACTATTCCAAGAGACTTAGTGTCCACTCAGGTCCAGGAGATCCAGGGTCCATTCTGGTCCTAGAGATCAAGGGTCCACAATTATCCAGGGTCCACACTGGTCCATGAAATCCAGGGTCCACACTGGTCAAGGGTATCCAGGGTCCACACTGGTCAAGGGTATCCAGGGTCCACACTGGTCCAGGGTCCACGCTGGTCCAGGATATCTAGGGTCCACACTGGTCCAGGATATCTAGGGTCTACACTGGTCAAGGGTATCCAGAGTCCACACTGGTCCATGAGATCCAGGGTCCACACTGGTCCAGAATATCTAGGGTCCAAACTTGTCCAGGATATATACGGTCCACACTGGTCCAGAATATCTAGGGTCCACACTGGTCCAGGATATCTAGGGTCCACACTGGTCCAGGATATCCAGGGTCCACACTGGTCCAGAATATCTAGGGTCCACACTGGTCCAGGGTATCTAGGGTCCACACTGGTTCAGGATATCTAGGGTTTACACTGGTCCAAGATATCTAGGGTCCATACTGGTCCAGGAGATCTAGGGTCCAAACTTGTCCAGGATATATACGGTCCACACTGGTCCAGGATATCTAGAGTCCACACTGGTCCAGGATATCTAGGGTCCACACTGGTCCAGGATATCTAGGGTCCATACTGGTCCAGGATATCTAGGGTCCATACTGGTCCAGGATATCTAGAATCCACACTGGTCCAGGATATATACGGTCCACACTGGTCCAGGATATCTAGGGTCCACACTGGTCCAGGATATCTAGAGTTCACACTGGTCCAGGATATCTAGGGTCCACACTGGTCCAGGAGATCCAGGGTCCACACTGGTCCAGGATATCTAGGGTCCACACTGGTCAAGGAGATCCAGGAAGATACTCTGGATCACCAAGAGCATCTACTTCATATTGTTCTTCACCTTGATTCACATTGATTTCTTAATGATTATGCTGAAACTAGAAGAAAAACAAGGTACTATATAATCACCAATGCTGATGTATAAAGTAAAAAAATAGTGCAGAAGTAGGTCAATTTGCATAACGTTGCAGCACTGCAACCTAAGTTTTGTGAAGATTTTAAAATAAATTATGAATTGATTTTCAAAACAACACATACAGTATGTAATATATACCTTAGGTTGTCAGAAACATATTTTTTGAAATTCCAAAACCAGTTTATTTGACTTTGATGAACTTTGAAACGCCAACCAAAAATGCTGATAAAAAAAACCTTGTGAACATCCACAAATTTGAGATCGGCTTGGCGATAAAACAAATCTAGGTCACTTAGACATGCGCAAGCTGTAGGTTAACATTGTAGCAGTCAAACAACGTGATGCACAGAATAAAACATGTTTAGGCTAATATTTTATGGGAAGGTAACTGGTATGTTGCAGATTTGTACCGGTATGCATTTAAGGGATATATATATGTATATATATATATATATATATATATATATATATATATATATATATATATATATATATATATATATATATATATATATATATATATATATATATATATATATATATATATATATATATATATATATATATATATATTAATATAATATATATATGTATATATATATGTATATATATATATATATATATATATATGTATATATATATATATATATATATATATATATATATATATATATATAAAGCAAAGTGGTCAAGTGCCCATTGCTGCAGGCGCTTCAAATTTGGCAGGATGATGCCTTGGGGGAGATAGAACGCCAGAGCCGGTGTCGGTTGGCCGCAAAGTCCACGCAGATGGAGTCAAAACTGACCTCGATTGACCATTTATACCATTTTCTGTTTTTGTTTAAAGTAGTATAAAATAGTTTGAAAAAAAAATTTAAAAGTTACATCCCTTGTAAATTGACCGAATGACGTAGTCTTTGTTTACTTTTTTTCACAAATAGTTGCTATGGTTATATCACAAAATACGGCATCTAGACACATTTAACGACCTTAATTGTTTTTTCCGACAGGAATAAAGTTGTTGTGTTACCCTCCAGGGTCGGTCAACGACCTCAAAATAAAAAAAAATGTTTTTCGATATATAGCTCATATAAGGAGAATTTCACTCGTGGTCAATTTTTAGCCTTTGCCATGCAAACAGAGGCTGACAAATAGTATATCTATAACGCCGATTTAATTTCTCAGCTCTATGCAAAAAATTGAGCTAGATGTACTGAGCCAAAGTTCCAAAAGATTTTTTTTTCAAAAGTCATCGTTTTTCATCAAATTCACCTAATTACCAATGTTTATATAGGGAAAATTCGGACCAGTTATAAAGATCTTCCGGAGTTTCCCGACCATATCATAGTTTTTTTTACCAAACCCAAGGGTCGGTCTACGAGTTATGAAGAGGTTCCTCAGTGGGAATTTTTTTTCGATATATAGTTCTTATAAGGCGCCTGTCAGTCGGGGTCAGTTTTGACACCTTCATCGTGGACTTTTTGGCCAACCGACTCCAGCTCCGTGTTGTTTCGCCCCAAGCCAAATTTGAAGCGCCTGCGGCGCCGGGAAATGCCCTAACGGGCACCCAAAAACTTTCCTTTATATATAGATTAATTGTGAAAAAGTAAACAAAGACTATGTTAGGGGTTTGTTTTTTTGTTACTAATAACTATAATGCTTGGCTGTTGCAAGAAAGTTGTTCTTTACAAAGTGTGTGATTTACGCATATTTTTATGTAAACATTATAATAATCTCAATAATCTTATTCAAAGTGAGCAGCAACTAACTTAGAATTGGAAAAATACCAGAAGATTAGAAATAGAATGAAAGTGGGATTTTCGATAATATTTTTATTAAAATGGGGTTTGTGGGCCGAACAAGTTTAGGACAAGTCATTTCACGAAATTGATTTTAATTGAATTGCCAAGAACTGGCGGCAATTAAAACAAAACTTTAATTTAAATTTTACAATGTCTTCAATAATTTTAAATGTGAACAATGGTGTTTAAATATATTTTGTCTATATCTTTATCTTTCGGTCTCACACATATGTAAGCACACTTTCACACACACTTGAAGGGGGTGGTGTGATGGAATGATAGTTTTTACTGCTAACCCGGGTTTGTGTCATTATAACGTCCATGAATCAACTCAGCTCTTTTTGTTACCTGGTTGAAATTTTATGAAGGTAAAGGCGGCTGGGCATTGTGCTGAACACAAAATCGCTTTATATGCCGATGTCGCTGAAATAGATAAAATTTAATTTACTTGTATCACAGTCAGGTTGAAAGTGGTATCTTTAGAGTTATAGAGAAATCTATTTGATTTTAAATGGGCCTTACACAAACACAAATGTTCAGAACATAACTTTGTTGAGTCTCATTGTAATACGCCTTTATGATTTATTGTTATTGGCATTTGAGAAAATATTATGTTGGTCTTTTTTTAGTGCGAATTAAACTAGTATTATAGTTGATTCATCATATATATATATATATATATATATATATATATATATATATATATATATATATATATATATATATATATATATATGTGTGTGTGTGTGTGTGTGTGTGTGATTCTCTTGTCTTATTGTGTTTAACCACGTCTTATTCAAGCATAATCCAAGGTACATGTGTTTAGACCTTAGAGTAATCCCTTCAACATGTTTTATGTCAGTGCATGTGATGCAAATATCTAAGGTAACATTGCCTAACATGCGGGCTCACATTTGCAGATTTTATAAAACATGTGTTTAGTTTTATTTCCCTCATTCGATACTGATTGAAATCTAGTATTCTCTTCTTTATAATAAGAACGTTATTTTAGTTCATAAAAACAAAAAAAAACAAGGTTTTAGAGTAATCAATAATAATGAAATACCTGCTAGAAATATATATATATATATATATATATATATATATATATATATATATATATATATATATATATATATATATATATAATTATATATATTAAAACAAATCATTACTAACACAGCAACATGGCAATGCGTTTAGTGACTAATATAATAAAATATGTTGATAATCTCTCTACACATTTTCAAAAAAGTTAAGCTCTATAGAACGATAGACTGAATAAGATAACACATTAGTTATGTATTATTTTATTTTTTAATTAGCTACTTATTTAAATGTAGAATTTGTTTTTAAAAGATTGTATTTAAAATATATGTATATTTACTGTACATATTAGGCGTTATGTTTTTTTTTTCATGAAATGTTGAATTAAATAATGGATGATAGTGTTATGTTTCGTTACATAATCTTATGTTGTGGTTGAATGGTAGAGACTTGGCTGATAGCCCATAGGTATAGAGTTCAGATCTGTGTTTAACCTTTTACTTTATTACTGGAATCTTCCAAGTTCTGATGGGTACTTATCATTTGTTAAGGAAAATAAAGGGTTCTTAGCTATGTGGTGACTACATTTTTCGTTCATATTCCGAGGTCAAGAGACATACGCTCTACGTTATCTGCTCAAAGGATAGCGTCTAAATATGCACTTTACTGTATATTAACCTAATTTTAACGTTATCCCAGTTATTGTAGATCAGTTAGATGCGTCGCAAGTGGGGGGGGGGGCGAGGGGGGTGGAAATATGTGCCCGGGCGGCGACATTAGGGGGCGCCTAAATTGGTTGAAAAATTAATAATTAAAAGCTCATTTTAGCTGCAATTTTGCATTTTAAATATAAAAATATAGGGGGGGGGGGCAAAGTTGAAACTTTGTCCCAAGGGTGGGAGGGCGCCAAATTAAAAGTTTTCCCCCGAGCGCAGGTAAGGGTCGCTATGCCTCTGAGATCAGACCTTTCAATAATCTTAATTCAGCGAAACTAATTTGTAAACAATGTATGCATTACCGATCTATAAGACAGATTTGCCTACCATACAAGCTTAACCATGCTGGTCTGATTAAAGAACTTGGTTTTTTTAATATCTCGTATTCAATAATCCTTTTGTTTTCTGGTATTTTAATATTCAAATAGGACGTTATTATGATCAGTAACCAAAAAATAGTACTATTAAGCATATGAATCTAACTGCAATGCCACATTAAATGCGGGTTGAACTCATTGTATACAAATTAATACA